ATGGGAGAGGGGAGTAAAGGGAAGAGAGAAGAAGTACAATGGAAGAGGCGGAAAGGAGAGAAGGATAGAACGAGAAAGAATGGGAGAAAAAAAAACGAAGGACGGAGAGACGATCTGAAGGAAAAAAAGAGAAGGGAGGAGAAGAGAGAAAGGAAGTGGAAGGAGAAAAGAAGGAATAAAGGAAGGAGGCCGAGGGGGGGGGGGGAGACGACAGTTAAGACCACTTGAAATACTTATTATGGACCCTACACCAACCACCTCGTTAGAGAAACCGTCTGCATTAATCAAACGCCTCATAAACACCCCCCCCCCAAACATTCTCTATTTTTTCTCCAATTTTATCACACCCCATACCCCGCCCTATCCCCCCCCCCCGCCCTATCCCCTACCCCCCCCCCTTCCTACTTCTTCATTTATTTATCTCTCTCTTTTATCGTTTCGTTTTGATTTGATTTTGACGAAGACCGTTTGATACACCGCGTGAATTGGCTGCTGGGGATTTTTTCTTTTTTTCTTTTTTTGGGACTGATGGGATTTTGGGTCCATTGTCAGCGGGGAAATGTCAGTGAGATGGAATGCAAAAAAAATGGGACAGAATCTGGATAATTATGTGTTTTTTTTTGTTTTGTTTTTGTTTTTAACTATCACATGGAATTGGATGTTTAATGACCGGTTTAGGTTGAAATTTATATTGGATAAATAGCGGCAGCGTAGCAACAGGACGCGATGCTGATATGTTATTAAATGTTAGAGAGAATGGAAAGAAATGGAAGAAGTGATCAAAAGAGAGAGAGGGAGAGAGAGAGAGAGAGAGAGAGAGAGAGAGAGAGAGAGAGAGAGAGAGAGAGAGAGAGAGAGAGAGAGAGAGAGACAGACAGAAAGGGGAAAGAGAAAGAAGAAAGGAAAGAAAAGAATGAAAGATGAAGATAGAGGAGGAGACACTGAAGAAGGAGAAGAAAAAGAAGAAAAAAAAACGAAAAGAAAGAAGAATAAGAAAGAGTCGAAAGAAAGAAAAATAAAAATAAAAGTAAAAAAAAAAAAACAATCAACATTAAGACGCCCCACGCCCTCCGCCCCCCCTGTAAACCCCACCTCTTCTGCTGTAGTTATTTTCGCTGGAAGAGCCAGAGCGTTTGGGCCACAGATCTCCCGCCGGCGACCCAGACCTGCCGACGAACACCTCACCTTTAAGCATTCGGAGCGGCCGTTCATTGTTCCAGGAATTATAAAGCATAAATGAGCTATTCATTATGCAGCGACGTTGAATATTCGTCTATGATATGTCAGCGTAGGAGGCAGGGTTGATGTGGCGTGATATCATTGTTGCTATCGACTCTTTTTTTTTCATTTTTTTTATTTTTTGCTGTTTGAATATCCGTTTTTTTTTTCTCTCTCTCTCTTTTTTTTTTTGAGTCTTTCTCTTTCTGTGGAATCGAAAGGTCGGTCGTTCTATCTACATATCTGATCCGTGTCGTGCGCTTTGATGGGGTTAACGCAGCGTGAGAAGGGATGGAAGAGTGTGTTATACTCCGTGAGGTGAGAGTGGGATGCGTGGCTCCTGTGCGTAAAGTGAGAGAGTCGTGTTTGGTGTAACCTAGCTATACTATTATATTGCTGAAATACGTATGCTAATGTTATTCTGTGTATTGTACATGATTTATAAGAATCTTGGCTGGTTGTCGCATACATATATTCACACACACACACATATATATATATGCATATATGTACATGTGTATATACGCATGATCATTGTTTTACTTATTTATTCAACTGTTCTTGTCCCTCTAGATGTTCCAATGTTGTGTTGTTTACTCCCTAAAGAGCCATGTATTGTTGTAACACTACCTTTCTTCACCACCACCTGTCACATGCTAACTACATGATCTGCAGCCTTCTTAAGACTACTGTACTATATGACAGACAGATTCCCTGCGAGGACCCAAGGAGCAACACCAAGGAGAAACAGCCTCACTCAACATCATTACTCCTTTCATAAAGGAATCAAAAACATCTGGGTTCTCTACCTCAAAAAACTAAGCTCACCACCTACCATGCTCTTCTAGGGTCCATATCAATGCCTCCTACATGTGGTTCCTATGCATAAGGTAAGAGGACAGTGCGTGTGTTTCCCTTGTCAACCTGATGCCATTACTCCCTGAGCTCGTAGGAGGCGGGTACGCTTATACGCATTAAGGTTCGTGTGTAACAGAGGCGTCTTAAATTCATTTTCGTGTTCATGAAAATTGCATGGGATTGACTATAGTTTAATTTTGTTTCTTGATGGATAGCTTGCTGTCTAATAAGCTACTTCTATTGGAGAGGAAAATTAAAAATGTTATAATGTCAAGGAGTTACTGACGTGACATCCAGCCATTCAATTTAATATTCTTTTTCCTTGTCTTATATATGTATATATATACATATGTATATATATATACATATATATGTATCTATATATATACATATATATATATATATATATATATATATATATATATATATATATATATACATATATATATATATATATATATATATATATATATATATATATATATATATATATATATATATATATATATATATACACATACATACATATATATATATATATATATATATATATATATATATATATATATATATATACATATATATATATATATATATATATATATATATATATATATATATATATATATATGTATGGATACACACACACACACACACACACACATACATACACATACATACACACACACACACACACACGCACACGCACACACATATATATAAACAAATATATATATATATACACACACACACACATACACACACACACACACACACACACACACACACACACACACACACACACACACACACACACATACACAGATATATATGTATATATATATATATATATATATATATATGTATATATATACATGTATGCAGACATATATGTTTATACATATACATACATATACTACACACACACACACACACACACACACACACACACACACACATACACACACACACACACATATACATATACATATATATATATATATATATATATATATATATATATATATATATATATATATATATATATATATATATATGTTAGTGTGTGTGTAACTTATATCATATAACATTTATTATTACGGTTAATTTGGACAGATATGATGCAAAAAATTACAACTGTGCATTCAGCGAAAGCCACCATTTAAGATCACCATCACCATTTGGTCATCGCTATAAATTTGGATGACCGTTTGAGTATATAGCATTGTGAAAAATTGACTGAGAATAAGTATGCTTTCCCCGTTATATGTAAAGTCTTTTCAGTTACTACGTGTTATACACACTGAAACGCAACAGCTGCTATAGTATATTCGTGCTCGGCATGATAATGGTGAATAACTGAAGGCTACTGGATATCCCGAATTTTTATTTTTGTTATATCTGCGGCATGTGATAGAGGGTAAAGGAACATAGAAGAAATATTACGTGCGATAAGATACAAGCCTCAGTATAGCAGAACTTACTCTATAAGTTTATTTATGTACAATTTATTTATCAATTTTAAAATACCATAATTGCTGAACATTTAATATCTATCGCGGATTTTATATTGTATATATAACACGCGGATTCCATGTTCTATATATTGGAGTAATGGTACATATTATTTCAAACTCATATAAAAAAATCTCTGACGATGTCCTACTAAGTAGTGCAGTGGTAGCTTTCTCAAACAATCTTGATGACCTAAGTTCAAGTCTCTCACTGTCATTGAATGGTGTCCCTGGCCATTCCTTTCATATAGATTTTAGAATCTAGAAGCATACGAAACATACAGCCGCAGTTTATCTGAAGGCACAAAAACCTGTCAACATACCCTGCTAGATAGATAGATAGATAAATAAATAGATAGATAGATAGAGAACGTTCTTGCCCTCACACGACCACTGATTGTATGTTACATTATAATCCTTGTATTCACTGTCACACATTTTTCATCGTAGAACAAGCCACCTCATTGCGTCCTACACATCATTCAACAAATCCTTGTAAAGACGCTAAACATGCAACATCCTCATCCGACCTGGGATGGGTCACCTCTTTTCCGAACAAGTCTAATAAAGTCATCTGTACGCGCCATAAAAATTAATTCCGTATTAAAATTTAATCCAGATCTCTAGAGCGCAATGACAGCGTCCAGGATCAACTTTTAATCTACCTCTGGACCAGCATTAACTTTTAAGCTCAAATTTTAATCCAGCAGATAGGCAGGACGAGCTAATCAATCCCACCAATTATGCACTGCTGCCTAAAAACAACGTCATCAACTCCGGAAAAAAAACATGGAGTTAAGTTGCCATTAACTTCAAGTTCTGACATTTCCATGTAAAAGATGTATGTAGATATTCATCCGTCTGTATTCTAATAAGTTGTGGGATATTCAAACTGCTCTTATAATCCTCAACGGGGAAAAGAAAAACGAAGAGAAAATCTCATAGACCCAGACACAGAAAAAACAACCTTACTTCCAGGTTGGGAAAACAATATAATCTTATGCAGTATATTAATTAATTAAAAAAGGAAAACTTTTAATAACTTCACGATTATGTTTTAGATACCGAGTATAAACTTTCTGATTTTTTAAACTATAGTGAAATGTAATACTTTGTAGATATTTATCATGATCCTCGATGTCAACATCCGGAAGGAATAGCCACGGCCAGGGATCTTTCTCTCTACGTCGACACTAAATTGATAAATAGTTTTATTGGTAATGATGTACTGGTTATTGGTAGAGCATCGGTAAATATGTGTGTGACGGATAGCCAGCATATGCATGGGAGATTATGTTATTGGAAATTAATAATATCAATCTAGCAGTGTTTGATCTAACTGGCGCAACGTTAGTCAAGCAAAGTGATTATATTATCTCTTTTATGGTCTTGTGGAAATATGTAGTTAATAGATTACTTCGAATATATAAATACAATTATTTTCTATTAACTTGCTTAATCTAATGTACTTTTAGATTAAAAATACCTTCCGTACCCTGTACCCATAGCCTGCGTTTCCCTGGTGATGTAGCGTTTGAGTCTGGCTTAAGGCACGGTCCCACGAGCGTTTTTTTTTCAGCAACCCGTTTGTGATATGATCCGCCAAGTTACTCTGTAGGCGATTTCTCAACTGGCTGGTCACTCGGGGGAACAGAACCTTCGTTGATCCGCTCGATTTCAGCGACTTTTAATAACTTCACGATTATATTTTAGATTCCGAGTACGAACTTTCTGATTCTTTAAACTATAGTGAAATGTAAAACTTTGTGGATATTGATCATGATCCTCGATGGCAACATCCGGAAAAAGTGATCCAGCTTGTCCCTCTCGATCACACGCAAGGAAGAGCCGTCAGAGGAAACCCGAATATGAACTGTTTCGAATATTTTATGCTTGTTTGTCACCTTTAATTAAATTGCCTGTATGATTCAAAGGCTATTTGAAGCCGCTTATATAGCTTGTATTGACACATATATAATGGAATGGAATAGATGTAATAGAATGCTATATCGCATGTGTGTAATTTATTTTCCCCGTAGAAGAGGTCTCTTTATGAACATCACTGTGTAATATGAAAATTATAGTGGGTGATTGTCAATCATTATTACCCATGTGCCAGCTCGTTCAAGTTAAACAGCAAATATTCCGTTAATCACACTAATTCGTGCGCCTGGCAGGTGTGTCTTGCATCTTCGGTGCAAGTACTGTAGAATTGGGTTAAACTTTAATACACTATTGACTTTAAAGATGCCTTAGATGTCCATTTCTAGCTGTGGAATTGGATTAAACTTTAATGCAGTATTAACTTTAAAGATGTCTTAAATGTCCATTTCTAGCTCTCAATGCGGACGGACCTAATTTATCCAGTGTTCTCTTGCTCCCCTTTGGCGTACTACAAGGTCCATTCATAAGTCTACCTGTTCCTGTTTAGCCTTGCCTTCGAGACGTCAATTGCCTCATCTCCTGTCCCCGCCCACGACCGGGGATCTTCCTCTCTACGTCGATACTAACTAGATAAATAGTTTTATTGGTAATGATGTACTGGTTATTGGTAGAGTATCGGTAAATATTATGTGTGTGACGGATAGCCAGCATAGGCAAGGAAGATTATGTTATTGGAAA